ACTGCACACGATCTCCCTTCTGAAATTGCAGCTTCTCAATCTCCATGATCCTCATACTCCAATGTCCTTTGGGCCACTGGATTGAAAACTTCTTTCCATCACCGGCAAGGCGGATCACTTCACCAATATCCCCTCGGGGAATGTCCTCATCGTCCTGCTTCCAAAGCACCAACTGTCCCGGTTGGATTTTGCACATGCTCAGCTCGTTAGCCTTGAATTTCCATCGACCTTTGGGAAACTGCACTCGCAAACGGCCCTGGGAGACTTTATGCCAACCACTTGCCCGAGCTCACCTTTCTTCACATCCTCAGGGGGCAATCAGGGGGCAATCTTGGACTGAATGCGCCCGATGCTGAACATCTGAAAACACAACGATGCGATTTGCAGGGGGCCGGGTTTTGTCACCCAATCCTCATCAATTTTCTGCCATTTGACAAAGGCGCCCAACTGCAACTCGTACAAGATGAGTTGGTCGGTCTTAACACTCCAGGTTCCCTTGCGAAAGGCCACCTGACTGGGCTCATCTCCCATGTCAGCGCAACCCTTGCCAAATCACTGGGTTTCAATCATTCAGAGAAATCAGAGCGAAAATGTGTACTTAGTACTTTCTGCCAGTTTTGGAACTATCCTCACCTTCACCTTGCCAGAGTCGTTCACTTCTCCTCGACTGCAAACTAGCGGCGGCCACATATCAACAGGGTGAGAGACCGCTGATTCTCATAAGCTACTGTCAACATGTCCAGTCTTGGTTACTGAAAACTGGAACATGTTGTTTCTTTGTTTGATGGTTGGGAATCAACAATACTGACAGTACATCACGTGTAAAGACAAAATCAACAAATGATGAGTACCGGTTGCTGCTGGTCATTCTTCATTCTACCAAACAAAACCGGTAGCATTGCCTACCCAATGTCATGAAACCAAATTGGGTAAGTTCACTTGGTATGGTGCAACTCTGAGGTATCGGCAAGCGAAATTCAAAGTATGCCTTCAAGTTTGATTCAAGAGATGACAGCTTGGAAGCAGCCATAACCTGGAAATGTTCGAAATCGGGGGGTACGCAGGGTAATATTCAACCATCTTATTGTCGTTTGCTATGCACTATAAACCAGTAGATATGTGTGATTGTGCAGTCAATAATTCACCCCCATGCAGGTGTTCAACAACAAGGTATGCTAAATACACCGCACAGAAACCAGAGGAGTGGGTCCGTACAAACGATTTGTTTAAAGACTTCTCGAGGCGAGATGACAACATGTGTAAATCTGGATGCAGACCCAACATGAATGAGTTAAAAAGTTGTTGTGCGGCATAGTCTCGACTTCCGAAAATGCATGGCCTCTAATGGCAAACTGACAGTTCTCTCGGCAAGAGGCCCCGTGGGTGACAATGATGAGGAGGAGAGGAGGACGAGGATGAAAATGATGGGAATGATGATATCCATGACTACAATCATGAGGATGAGGATGAGGATGAGGATGAGGAGGATGATGGTAAAGATGATGAGTAAGACGATGATAAAGATGATGATCAAGATGATGATTGATTATTTGTGATGGTATATCGGAGGAAACGACTGCTCAATAATTATCACGCATTCACAAGCAAGAGAGCGCCATTGTACGGCAACTATCACGAAAAAGACAATGGAGCGCAATTGCACAGCAATTACCACGAAACATGCAATACCCGACTCCGTAGACACCCGTCTTTTGGAGACTTCGTGCGAAAACCGAAGTCGGAAAGGGAAAATACCAGGACACCGACGCCAAGCGCTTTTGTGAGACTTCGTCCGAAAACGGAAGTGGGGTACGGATACTACCGCATAACATGCACGTGCGCTACCTCCGATCTAAACCTGGCCCTTGTCCCTTTCCGTAAGAAGCCCAAGCGTGAGACCCACACTTTGGGGAAAACCTAACCACCCCCTGCCCCTAATTGAAGAAACGCTGAAACACCCATCTGCGACGGGTCGATCTCCTGTAACTTCTCCAAGCTCACCATCTGCAATGTCATTATTACTCTCGGTCCATTGCACATAGGAACCGGGCTGCACATTGCACCGAACCAAATCCCTGGGTCGGAAACGCCAAGAGCCTTTTGGGAAGCTTACTTTAACTTTGCCCTTCTCATTCAAGTCGTCCAGCACTTGACCCACGTGACCAGGAGCGATGTCATCATCTGACATATTCCAGAAGGCAAACATGCCGATTTGAAAATCACACTTGATAAGGTACTTGGGCTTCTCTTTGATGGTCTCACCTTCCATCTCAATCTTCAACTTTCCATCCTCAAAGGGCTGACTTTGATGGTCCCCATACTCGGAATATTTACAACACGATAGTTGCCTTTCAACGTTGTAGCTAGATCACCAAGCCTCCCGGTGATATTGGAATCTAGCCACCCTCGTATCACCTGGCTCATCCCAACTTCCTCTCCTCCACTCCCTTCACCTGCCCGATCATCTTGTCTGCAACTCCGTCTTGGCTGGAGTGGACATAGGTGCCTTTCTGAAAATCCGAGACATTGAGTTCTGTCGAAAGGACCTTCAACTTCTTCCCGTCAAACTCAACCTTCACCTCATCACCGTCCACTTCAATGACCTCCCCAACAGTGCCACGGGGAATATCATCATCCTGGTTCAGCCAGTAGACATAGGTACCCTGCTTGATACTGTCCACATGGTCATCAGGAAGCTCCGGCATGACGAGATGCCGCCGGTGCCGTGTGGAAGCGCATGTGCAAATGGTGTGCTTATTTATTACCTTCAAAACATTGGATTTCACCTGGAAATAATTTACGTGGAAGTCTCGTCTGTCATGTCAATGCAAGTGAGTCAGAATCAAAACCCGGTATTTAAATAGTCCACCCAGAATCATGTAAAGAATTAAGAAGGCGGCGGCAACTGTTTATGGTTGGGAGCCCTTACTAACCTTCATCTACCCAGGTTTTAGTTGTGGCTCAAGTGATGCTTGAGCCGCGCACGTGTACAAGACCTCCTTTTGAAAGCCATGTGCTCACGATGCTTACACCAAGATGGGCTTGCAGTCTCTTTTGCCTTCAGGCCTGTGTCTCGCGAGCACATCATGCCTCCTTGGGGAACAGAAGCGTGCAGTGGAGCAGCACGGAGCAAAGGCACCATGTCGCCCATGAGGAAGATGCCGCAACTGTTCCGGTTCATCCGCTCTCATTTGGGGACTGGCTTCGCATTGCCATGTCCAGCGTGAGAACGCTCTTCACGATTTCTGGCACTGACAGCAGCGAACTTCATAGCTATCAGCAAGGTTTCAGCGTATTTGTAAGGTAATCAGCTTTCTGCAGCAAAATGTGCCCTAAGAAGGCGCGACCCAGCTGCATTTGCCAGAAGACACGTAATCTGCTACATCGTCCAGCCGCGCCGACTTAGGGCCTGTATGGGACAACCAAGAAGAAAGGGTATGACAGGGAAGCCGAAAGGCCCACTTTTAGCGTCACACAAATTCGGAAACACCCACTAGAATGAACCCATAAGGTTGCCCCGTACCTAGCAATGACTTGGCGTAGAGCGTCAGCTGCTGCTCGTTCCCAACCCGAGCTCCAATCATTGCGATGAGGCGCCTGGCAATGGAAGCACTGATAGCTTGGCTCTTTCTTCGCCCTTTCACAATGCCCTGCCTGAGAAATGTTTCGATGGCCCTGATGTCGCCACTCCGCAAAACCTGTTGGAAGGTTTCCTCATCCAGCGGAGCCTCCGTGGCCTTCTTGCACACCTGGACGGTGTCCTCCAATCTCTCAGTGGCCCGCTCATTGACCCGCTCGTTCTTCTCGGACCTGAATAGCACCACCCCATTGCGCACGGAGAGCAAGAGTTGGGTGGGCAAGGTGTTGCTGCGCTGACGCGGCGCCCAAAGGTGGCGGCTGAAGAGGCCCCCAAGGACCACGTTGGAGTTGTTCACCACGGAACGCCAGGAGGCGGCTACGCATGGCTTGTAACGCTCCACGATGACGTTGGCCAGGGCCTCCATGGTGCCTTCAAAGGGCTGGGCATGGAAGAAGCTTTGACCTGCAAGCTTGACCCGGGCCCCGTCAATGTCCAAGGTGTGAGAGAAGCTGCTTAAGGTGAGCATGGCCACCGCATAGCTTGGGAGGCTGGCGCTGGTCAAGCTGCACCACAGGCCGATCTTCAGCTCGCTGCACTGGAAGTTCCTAGGGCTGCCATTGTGACCAAAAAGCCTCCTTTGAGAATTTAGGGGCCCTAGAAGGGTAGCATCTGATTCTGGTACCATCTGCTTCGCTCCAGTCCCCACTTTTGCCCTTCCTGAGCACGTACTTCCGCGCCGGGCGCGGCACTGAGGTCACCAGGCTGTGATAGGGCAACCCCGCGGTGCGGGCCACGTGGAAGAGGCACTGGCCCTTGGAAAGTGATCGACTCTTGTGATCCAAAGTGGTCTCGTTTCCCGCGCTCCCGCTATCTTACCACTTCTGCATCATGGCAACAGATTTTTCAGGGTATGGCAACAATGACTTGGAAAGTGATCGACTCTTGTGATCCAAAGTGGTCTCGTTTCCCGCGCTCCCGCTATCTTACCACTTCTGCATCATGGCAACATATTTTTCAGGGTATGGCAACAATGGCAACCCGTTCCATGCCTCCAGCTGCGGCGGGGTGGCCTCCTGCACAAAGGCCTTGATCTCGCGGATCAACTCCTCGGAGGCGCTGCACTCCAAGACCACCCCCTCGGTGGCTGGGGAGGGGAAGAACTGCAGACTCACGGAGCTCAAGATGATGTCGCTCTCCTCGGGACCCTTCGACCCTCAAATGGAACGTTTTGCAAAACGTCTCTTGTTTTGGTCATGTTGCAAAACTTCGACGTTGTATAGCTTGTGGGGAGAATCATTCCCAAAAAGGTTCACACCAAACGGCAACCGAGTCTCGTTCAGCTTCTCCCTCTGGATCCTCAGACGCCAGGGCTGACCCTGGTCCAGAGATGCCAAGACCACCGTTTGGATGCGCCCATTCTTCTTGGGCATTTTGCGGTCGTGGTCTACCTGCAGGCCCGCGAGCTCGCAGACTGTCTCCCTCTTGCCATCGCTCTGGTTGATCCGCAGGTGGAGGTCCTTCAGGTGAATGCGGAAGGTCTCCCCGAAGGGAGAGTGGCTGGCCTTGATGCCCACGTCCAGTGCAGGGATCCGGACGTCCATCTGAAAGGTCCAAGAAAGGGAGTCACTACCCTCAAATCCCACCAGGAAGCCAACTGGTGACACTGTGATGTGGGCGACACGCTGAACGATGTCGAGTCGGACAGCTACCGGGAACTGTAGATGGGACGCCTCCACGACCTGGTTGCTCGGACGCCCCAGCTGGAGTTCCACCGACGCCGAGCTCCGGCTGCTGATGTCCCCGAGGATAAGCACCACACGCCGATCCATGCCAAATCGAAGCACTCCGGGGAAGCCGAAAGCTACCTTTGCCCCGTGCACCGCCACAAAGCGCGAGGAAAATTCCATCGTACTGTCCACAAAGGAACCGTCAACGACTAAGCAAGGGTGGCGGTTGACGAGCTGGTGGCACGCAGAGGGTCCTGCTGCGGTGAGCGTCATGAGCTGGCCAGAGCACTGCTCGACTTGAAGACACAGAAGAAACTCCTTCAGCTCCGCGTCTTGCAGCCGAACAGGAAAGCACCCAATGCCATGTTCAGACACATCAAATGATGCAGACCAGGCGTCTGGCTCCCTGCCGCCTCTCTTGCGCACCGCCGCCTGCAGCCTCCTGGGCCGCTCTTGTACCCAGTAGATGGCCGAGCACCCAGTCTGGGCTTCCAGCCAAATGACCCGAGCCGTGCCCTCCTGCCGCACGCCCACCTCACAGTCCAGGCGGTTGAAGGCCAGCAGTGCCGGCATGAGCGTGAGCAAGGTGGAGCTCACCCCGTGGGAACTGGAGGCGCTGATAGGCTCGGACCGCAAGATGCAGTCGTGGATCTCGGAGAGTCGCACTTTGGCGGACTGGCCCAGGTTTACAAAGGGCAAAGGCACGGGCTGGCAGGTGCGGTTCAGCACGACCTGGAACGGGCTGGCCTCGTCCTCACCACCACCCCACGCCTCATCATCGATCACGGCCAGGTTATTGTAGACGGGCGCGACCTCCTTGTGGCGGATGAGGACTACATCTAGGCCCGTGGCATCGTTGAACCAGCAATTCCCGTAGATCTTGGCCTTGCACTGCCCAGTTTGCCTGGCGCACCTAAGCCACAGCGGGCTTAGGTCCATGGGCACGGGAACCATCTGTCCGTCCACCAGAACTGGTGTCGGGGGTGACCATGCGGACATCCGACCGCTCCGATCCGACAAGGCCACTGACAGCAGCAGGGGCGGGAGACTCCGCTCGTTCCGGTGCAGGGACTGTCGCAGCACTCCCCCGGACGGGGCCGAGCCGAACTGCTCCGGCAGCTCGTAGATGGGCACCTCATCCCCTGGCGCCAGGCGCAGAGGCCGGTGGCTCGACAGCCCACGCCTGGCCTGGCAGAACTGCCAGAAGATCCGCTGCCCGTCACGCTTCACCTGCAGGAAGTTGGTGCTCCTATGACAGTCTTGCCGCTCCTTCCTGGAGCTGGTCCACCATTGAAAGCTGCCCTGGCTACGCAGGGGCGCCACATACGCAAAGCCGTTCTCAGGCACATCCCAAACACCCCCGTACCCATCGCAAATGTGCAAAGTCTCCTGCGCGTCACATCTGTCCTTCCTGTCCTCCAACTTCTGTGGTTCCCAGGAGCCATCGTTGGACCAGCAAAGGTGGCAGCAAAGCTCAACTGGAGTGGCGTTGCAGAGGCTGAAGGGTGCCTGAATTTCTAGCTTGCACATGTCCAACCTCTCCTCCACCGTGAGTCGCAGCCCATGCGCAGGCATGCTCACCTCAGAACAAGCAGACCTGGAGTAGACAGCATAAGCGTCCTCCATCTGCAGCACAGCTGTAGGGTGGACAGGGGCACCGAAGGAGAAGTTCATACCCCCGACCGAGCTTGGGCAGGGCCGCAGCTGGAAGCAAGCCTCCGGCCGAAGGGCCTGGGGGGGAATAGCCAAGATGAAGTTCGAGGGCAGCAGCAGGGTGTGGGAGTTCACATACTCCGAGGATTCCGCCGTCCAGGACTCGGCCGAAGCCGACGCCTCCAGCTGGCTGCCGTTTCGCGCATCCAGCAGCTGGGAGGGCATGCAGAAGGGCGGCCACAGGCTGGCCTCCACAGCCAAGTTGGGCACACCCAGAAGCTTCACTTCCAGATCCTTGGTCCGAGGATTCAAGTCTTACCGCTTCTTGCCTACAGCATACCGGAGCAAAGGGAAAATGTTGCCCAACGTTGACCCAGCATCCAGGAGCGTGCGGTTCACCAGCACAAGGGGCGACGTGATGAGCACCAGCATCTGAGGCGGGCGTGGCACCATGACCTGCACCAGGAGCCGACCACCGCTCGTGTTCCAGAACTCCGTTGCACCAGCACGCACCGAGATGGACTTGATGGGACACCCTTCCTTGGTCACTGAAAGCGAAGAGGAAACTCTGACACATGCAATGGGAATGATGAAACAAATGCTCGAAGCGGTCAGAAAAGTTGGAAGCAATGCTTCGAACCCCAAGAGTTATGCCGCTCAGCGATGTCAACTTTGTTGTTGTGTTTGTGCTTTCGTGTCTATATATATATAACTCAAAGGAGAGGGAAACACAGTTTCGTCAACAACGGGGGAACCCGGGACCTTAAAAGGAACGAACCCCTCCGTGACTGCGACCTCTCCCTTAACCTTGTGGGTAGCGCGAGCAACGCGCTCTTTTCAGCACTTGAGCCAAATGACATGCGGACATGTCTTCTGGGTCCTTGTCATGTTTGTACATCATGCAACTTGTTGTACCTCTGGGCCATAAATGTCATCGTGATAATTGACTCCCCCCTCATTGACGGCACTGAGGGAGTGTCTTGGGCGCATTACCACGCCAACCTGAAGTCAAGTTTACATCACAACGACTGACGCAAGTTATTCAAGCATCGCCCAGTCACTTACACACTTTTGTAAATTTGCAGACATGCTGCAGCGCACTAGGCAGCTGCTTTAGCGGACCTACTTTCACGAACGTCTTCAAGCTTCTCTGGAAGGTCAACACGAATGCCGAGCAACCGGATGGCATGGTCCCACTTGTTGGGTGGAAGTGCTTTCGTGAAGATGTCTGCTGACTGCATGTCGGTTTGGACGTATTCTATCTCGCTTTCAACGATGTTCATGTCGGTTTGGACGTATTCTATCGAGATGTGTTCGCTTTCAAGCTGCTCGCGATGCACGCGAGGTTCACCTTGTGGGTGCGCTGGACACAGCGTAGCTTGGATGAGAAACCCTTCTTTGCTACGAGGATAGTCGCCTGGTTGTCCTCGTGGATCTTGAGATGGAATGGTCTGTCCAAGATCAGCTCCCATAAGCTGAGCGCAGGAAGCGCCTCCTGGTAAAGGGAGTACGCGAGAGATACGATCTCCGCCTCGGTTGTCGATCGGGAGACCGAGGTCTGCCTTTTAGACACCCACGCAAGGGGGAAATGCGTATGCGGACCACTCAAAGTCAAGAATCCTCCGGACGTTGATTTTGCGTCTCGTTCTCCAGCGAAATCGGCGTCCACATAGAGAGACAGATGCAACTCATCAGTCGAATCCTGAACTGTGCCAACTAACGTGCTGTTGACCGTGCTGTTTATGTAGCAGACAAGCCTATGTAGCTGCTTATCGCAGTTCCTAGACCATTTCTGGACAAATGAGGCAAGGTCGCCAAGGGGCTTGACCAGGTCTGGGCGTGCCAAACGGCCGAGCCATAAGGCTTTCATCAACACGCGGCAAGCGGCGAAGCCGAGCTCACCCTCCAAGGCGTCATCTGCAGGATCAAGGGATCCAGCGGGACAGAATGGAGTGGTGGCATCACGCAACTTTTCAGTTTTTAGCTGTGCAACCTCAAGATATAATGCAACCGTTTGACGAGCATAATCCCGCATGTCGAACGCCATGCCCCCTTTCAATCTGCCCATTGCGGCATTAAGATCGGGTTCAGTTGGGTCCTTTGGAGCATCTATCAAAAGGTGATTCCTGCCTAGCACCCGATATATGTCTTCTGGGGGTTCTATATCAACCAGTCTTGTTAACTTTTCCCAGAAGTCTTTATGAAGGTGGCTGGGGCCGGCCAACGTCAATTCGTCGACGTATGTCGAGAGAAGTAACCCGGACTCCTTGAACCAGAAGTTTCCAGGAAACTCTGCGACCTCACGCCCTCCAAGTTCACTAATGAAACCTTTGAGGTGTGCCTCCCAGAGTCCGCCAGCGTCAGGATGCCCATAAAGAGCTTTAACGAGCAAAACCACAGGTTTCACAAAACGCTCGCGCCACCACCTTGGCCGGAGCTCAGGCGGGAGTGTGATCCAAGTTTGGTACTTGGATTTCAGCAGTGCTTGCACATAAGCCTTTATAGCGTCCGCTGTTGTGGTGGAGTTCCCTGGCAGGGATCCATAAGCGAGACAGTTATTAAGACCTTGTACGCTCGTGGGATTTGCTCCCAATTCTTGGTAGACAGCTGCTGCGCCATGTTCGTCTTTCGCACAGTCTCCGCGATACACAATCCTACCTTTCATCTTCTGAAGGTGTTTCGCGAGTTCGGCGAACTTGACGGATGCTAGCGACATCAATTGCCCGAAATGGACTTTTATACTGGATCGTCGCGCCTCAGCAGCGACTTGATCATACTCTCGGACTGAATTTAAATCCCAAACACCGGCTTTCTCCAGGCCTGTGGCTTCAAGTCGAACGGCTTCAAGGGCTTCCGGGGAAGCCAACATTTCGGCACGTGACAAGAGTCTGGTCACCATTGCGGTGATCTCAGGATCCTTTTTCTCTTTGACTTGTCCTAGGGAATGTGCGATGAGATTTTCAACGTCAAGTTTCTGTTCAAGGATGTCGTGACACCTTTCATCGGACTCAAGAGCAATACCAATATCTTCCAAACCAGAGAGAGGGGATATGTGTTTTAGCTGCTGCTCACGTTCCCGGTGGTCGAGAGGCAATGGCACTTGGACAGGCATCGCAGGCACAACGGGCTGAACTGTCGGACACAGCGCGCGGGCAACTGTGAGACACATGCCTTCGGGGTAGAAAGCGGTCTTTGCGGTCTTGTTACCTGCTGCAAGCGAATGTTTATACCCTTTTTCGTGCGGACACTTGAGCGCACCTAGCGCGGATGCGAGTGTGCTATTGCTGGTCATGACTTTCCATGGCTTCTTGATGGGATAACCATTGCTGTCCTTCAGACCTAGGGCGCAACCGTGGAAGGTCGCTGGGGTGAAGACTTGTGCGTATTCCCTAAAGAACGAAACACTACCCCCTGATGGAGGACAGTCTCTGCGTGACGTCTGAATCTGGAGAACAACTCTCTCGACTCTCTAACCTGTTGCTTCAGTTTCTTTTTGAACTGGCTTCCTAACTTGGCCTTATTAAGGCGTTGCCATGCTGAACCTGATGTGCAGGGGATTGCAGCCCAAAGATTGGGTTTATCACAACCTTCTATCTGCGACTGCAACTGGATTTCTCCTTCATCTGTGCCAAGGTCGATAAACTCTTTAGCCAGCCTAACATGAGGTATGCCAAGACCTTCAAACACGCGACCTATATTGGACTCTGGTGAACATGCGTATTCGAACATCACAGGCAACTTGTCAATGCGTGCCTGTCGCTTGCGGGCACGATGACTTCCTACCTCAAACTGCTTGGGCTGCGGAGCTTCAACCTCTGCGCTGCACGGCATGCCAAAAATTGGCAACGTATCTGGACGACCGTTCTTTGACGCTTCGGTGAGAGGTGTCGGCGGCACGGAGTCTAACATCACGGCTGCACCTGTGGTGATCACGCAATCGGACTGAATGGGTTTTAACTTGAACACTGTGAACCCGGTCCATGCATCTCCAAGTGAGCGATTAGGTCTGCTACCAAACCAACCATCGTGAATGTTGTCTGCTTTGCCCCCCTGAAACACGGCACGAGTGGTGCGAGCTGCAGTAAATCTTTCTGGGGAAACGGGGCAATCCTCGACCTCCTTTGGGGTAAAAAGATCCTGCCTTGGCGTGATATGGCATCGCACCAAACAGCTGGCATTTTCTTTGAACACCCAAAAATCTTCACCTTGCGATGTAGCGGCTGTCGCTGGCGCGGTATCGAAAAATGAGGCGCCGGGTCTTGAGGGAGCGGGCTCCCCAGCTTCGGCTGCATCAAATTCATGCGCAACGTCTTCTGCACTAACTGCGATTTTAGGATCCTCCTCATGCTCGGATGCGTGGATTGCTCTGGCTAGCTCCTCATCCCCTTCAGTATGAACAATGGGAATGGGTTCCTTAGATTCAGTTTTGGCAGCGCTTTTTGCAGCTGCTTCAGCTCGATCTGCAGAAACAAGTTCGGAGAACCTCTTCTTGCATTCGGCACTGTGAATCTTGGAATGACCGGTGCATGCACGGCAACCTGGCGTTTCCTTGAACTTGATGATCCTCTCAACAGTTATGTACACGGATTTTGACTTGACAGCGGATGGAGTCGGTGGGGCCCCAAAGGGCGCCTCTCGCAGGGGCAAAGTTGGGGGATCTGACCCGTCTGTCTTGCCACCATGCAATGCTCTATCTGCTGCTGCTGCGATCGGGAAGCTTGGGGGTCCGTCCTCAATGAACAATTCCGGTTCAGGAACATCGTGAACGGAAATGGAAACGGAAATGGAACCATCTTTACGGAAGGCTTCATAGTCCATGACTTTGACCACATTACGGTACCGCAGCCCCGGATCGACCCTCCAACCCAAAAAGAGCGCTGGCGCCATGTTCGGATCGAGAGTACGCTTGCCAGGAGTCTTGGTTCTGTACCAAACCAGTTGCCCGAAACAGCATCTCTTCCCTTGGAACTTTTCCTTGGTGAGAGCTTCCCATTGGGTTTTACCGGGGCTGAATGGAGCAGGCCTGTCGAACGACATGGAGAGACATGCAAATGGGTAACTAAACGTATGCAACGAATAGGGCAACCCTGATTGCAAGTGGATGCTACGACAGCACTCCTTCTCTTCGCGAATGTCGCGCTCCAGGACGGTGTTGTGAGGCCACCTGTTGGGCAAGCTTGTCTCTGGTACGAGACCGACTTCGTGGGCCGCTCCTTCGAGCTCTCCTGCTGCATCCATTTTTATTAGACATGCTGGCGGCGAATCAGTGGCCCGAAGGCCCATGAACTGACGGAAGTTTTTAACATGCGCTTGCGTGTCCCGCCTACTCACAGGGTATGCAAGGCGAACGCCTGAGAAAACATCACGTACTACATGGTGGGATTTGATTCCTCCGAAACCTACTCCGAGATGTTCATCGCCCATGGCAAGAATCACGGAATCGGTAGCCAACTGTTGAAATGGTGCGGTTGGGACATCGACTTTGTCGTCTGATCTGGCATCCTTTTTGTGCGCTACCCTTGCAGAAGTGGTCTTTGATA